CATGGAGTCTTTCCCCAAATACACTTATCTGTCCACTGGTAGAAGATGCTATCTCTTACACAGCCATTCATTTAGCACAAATTTGTTCATTTGAAGGTGGCCATGGACACTAGCTATTTGTTTGATTTATTATATACTTCAGCTATAGTTTTAAAATATTTTCCAGTGACCAAATGTATTTTTAAACAGACAATAGTTTATTTACAATAGCTAAACACTATAAAATACAGCAATGCAGTGGCAATGCACGAGATAAGCACCTATTTATTTATTAAGATTATATTTAAGTAGATTATTCCAAATGTTACATGTCGGAAGTTCAAAATACTATTACATTAGCTTGAACATTGTAGTGACTAATGTTTCAATAATACATAACCTTGTGGAAACAGTCCTGTATTCAGTTCATTTTACTCAGTTTATCCCAAATTACAGTAACTGTGTAATTATGACTTGGTTCATACAAGAGAATAATAAATACTTGAGTGTATATTTTCATGCACACTTATTTAATGAGCCCTTGCACAATTCAAATTCACACACCTTGCTGGGGAGTTATATAGATTTGATTACTAGTTTGCATCTCTGATCTTAGAATAAAATATACAGATTGTAATTTCTCTTATATATTCAACATTATCAAGTATAGAATATAATAGCTGGCACACATTTTCATATGCTGCGGCAAAACATTGCAAAACACAAATGTTACATATTTGTAACCAAATGAGGAAGCAAAAGATTGGAATATGTAAGGATTTTAAGGATTGGCTTTTTTAACTAACTGCTGTAGCAGAGTACCGATAACAAGAAACAAAATATATTGCAGAAAGTTTGTGTACTAACATATATACCAGATATGAGCACAACATCTGGCAACAAGACTATTGGCCTATTCCTACTTTCACTGTAGTCAATGATACAGCTTCCAGTACTTCAATGGAGGAAGAGTTATATATTAGATGATTCAGGAATCACATTTTTTGCTGAAAGCAGTAATCATTTGGGTGATCGATGGCGTATGGTATTTGTGAGCAGAAAATATTTGCTTAAGTTTCCCTGACCTTTAACTTTACATTTGAATATAATTTACAATAATACAAATAAATATTTTTCACAAAATAGCCATGATGTGCATCTACTGTAAGAAATAATCTATACTGGCATAGGGAATACAAGAAGTCTTTTCTCTCTCTAGTTTATGTGATTATGGTGACACACGGGGTATATTTATTGTAGTAACTGAATGCTATCATAAACAAATTAAGTTTTAAACTTTAACGCCCCACCCCAACCCATATCACTTAACAGGCCACTGGGTACATTACGAGTGAAATAAACATATAGCTGATACAATGTAGAGCATATGTGAATATGAAAGAATAGTAAAATATAAATAAATATATTTTAAAAATTAAGGCAGACTCACAGACATCTAAAAAGATTATGTAAGTTTATATTGTTTAACCCAAATGTAACTATTGGATGTTAATGAGATCACCATAAAACAATTTAGAAGCAACTTAAGAATCAGTAAGTCAGGCTAAATCAACTTTTTAGAGAGATCAAATTCTGGCATGGATAAATGGTGATCTGTGTAGTGCTGCAGAACAGATGATAAAAGAGGAGTCCTTCTGGAGCGTATTTTAGGGTTGGGTTATCAAAATTAAACCCCATGCATCTATTTTCAAAATGAACATCATGCCTAAGCGATCTGTCTTGAACTATAATTTTGCCAAATGGATAATGAAGAGCACTGTGCAACAAAGAACCGGAACAAGCCCTAATAAGGTAATCATTGAAAACAGGCCTTGATCCCATTTCCATTACAGTTGATGACAAACCTCTCAATGACTCTCATTCAAAGAGAGCAGGAGCAGACCCACTGTCTCTCACTTTCTAACCCTTCCCTCCCAAGTCTACATTGAGCAGGTGGCAATATTCTTTATCAGTTTGTCCTATTTGTTTTGGCTGCCTCCTTTTTTTCTCTTCTTTGTTGAACATTCTGTATCTTATCATTGTCTCTGTCCTTGTATGAGGCGCTCTCCTGTGGCTAGCTCTGAGTGTTTGCCATGCTTTAATAATAAAGAGTGTTACAAGACAAAAAAGTTTCTGAATTCATTTGGCTGATTTCATGCTCACCTTCACCACAGAAGAACTTGGGCGTAGGTGGGATAGGAAGCTACAAGTGTCATCCTTTTGTCTAGACGAGACATGAATGCATACATCACAGCCTTGTACTTAAAAGAACATGATGCTATACAACAGGACTACTCAATTTTGGAAACCCTGGGGGCTACAATGATACTCACAGCACATGCCGAGGGCCGCAACTTAAGTGTGATTGCATATACTTGCAAATAGCTTCTTTCACACTGATGGGCAGGAATATAAAGATTAAGGCAAGACAATTCAACATACAGGCCACATTTAAGTCAGTTCTGCTATTAATAAAATGCAATATTTACTCAATTTCTACCCATATGACACCACTTTTAATGAGCAATGACAGTCCAGGAATTTAACTACTAAAACGCATATTATTATAATGACTACTTTTTTGTTTTGGCTCCTACCTGTGGGGCCGCATGTTGAGCCCCACATAAACCCAAATTGCACCATGGGCTGCAAACGAACGGGCCGCGGGCCGCATGTGGCCCATGTGTTGAGTAGCCCTGCTGTACAAAATTCACAAGTTGGATCACTATATATTGTGTTTCTTAAAATATTGAAATGCAGGAAACAATAGTCTAACAGTCCACAAATGTTGTATTACTTGTTACTTGTAGCTAGCCTGCTGAAACATGGATTTATAAAAAGTTTAGCAAAATTTCTCTGTTAAGCATATGTAGTATTCATAAAAAACCTGGGAAAATACACGTTATAAGTTTTCCCACTGAATCGTGCACTATTCTCTGCACAGAAATGGATTTCATCTTTATGACATGACAATATCAATCAGTACAATATGAAATTGTTTTGCATGTTCTTATGTTTCTATTCATGAATTCTGATGTGGCAGTTGCATCAGATATACACAACTAATGAAAAATACCCTCCTTTCCAACACAGACATAAGCTATCATAAGGAGAGGAAGCGATCAGAAAAATTTATTTCTACATAATTATGCCTGTTGTACTGGTTGAAATAAGTTGGTGATAGATATACCCATATGCAGTGATGCACAGACTCGATCTTAGCAGTGGTCTGTTACCTCATTACTATACTTACATCCGCCCTCCCCTTACTCATTTTAATGAGTTACACTCTTATGTATAGAGTAAATCAAAGGACAGACAAGTCTATGGCATACAATCTACAACCTTTGCCAATACTTTCCCCTCCCCCTGTAATTTAATAATTGTGAACAGAATACAAGTTTAGGTACAACCTATAGAATTAGGGTGACTGAAAATGATGTTCTTGCAAGCACTGTAAAGGCATGTTGCAAAAATAATAAAAAACAGACAAAGAAACACCCCAGTTAAAAAATTCTATCTAGATTTTATGCTAGGCTAGCTATATCTGTTGAAACACTTCTAAAAAGTAAGGATTGGTCACTTAAGCATTTTGCATGTAATATCATGGGGGCATCCCTTTCCTTGTTTCTCTAAAAAGCATCATATGCTTGAATTTCTTACTGTCAAATATAATTAACAGAGAACTTTGCCACAGACATGACAGAATAAGTTTATATGAACAGTGCCACAATCACTGGTATTGTTCAACTACCTAGAGATCAGTTTGCAGAAAAAAGTTAAAACCAAAAGTAGTCATATCAATATAATCTGTTATTAAAAATATTTTTCAATCAGTGCTTCAATATAGTTAAAAAGTTTTTTTTTTAAATCCACTTTTGGTTTACTAATAAATAAAAATAAGATCGTAAGCAAAGTGGGTAAGTAATTTAAATGTTTAGTTATATAAATTAGCACAGTAACATTTGTTTGAATAAGTGCACTGAAAACAGATAACACCTTCCTTTCTTCTTCCGATACCTGAACATGAATTTCCTTTTGACTGAATTACTGTATAATGTGGGCCTTCTGGTTCACTGTACGACCTACATAGTCAGCTAATACTAAGTGGTCTATAGCTGAACTTAAAGAGAACGTTTCACCAGATGAACAACTATGCTAACCTGCATACCATATACTCAAATGTTCTGTGGCATTATTACAATAGATTAGAGCCTTTGGCGTCAATATTTTTTGTTACGGGGAAAGCGAGGAAGGCAGTACAGGCAGTCCCTGGGTTACGTACAAGATAGGGACTGTAGGTTTGTTCTTACGTTGAATATGTATGTAAGTCGGAACTGGCGTCCAGATTCAGCCGCTGCTGAAACTGACCGCCAGTTCTGACTTACATACAGATTCAACTTAAGAACCCCAAGTCAGCTGCTGCTGAAACTGATCAGCGGCTGATTCCAGGAAGCCTGGGGCAGAGCAACTCTGCCTCGGGCTTCCTGTAGTCAGCGCTGGTCAGTTTCAGCAGCGGCTGACTTGGGGACGCCTGGGGCAGAGCAGCTGGGGCGCTGCCGATTGGTCCTGCAGCGCCGCTCTGGGCACTACTGGACCAACCCGGCAGCACCCCAGCTGCTCTGCCCCAGGCGTCCTGATTCAGCCACTGCTGAAACTGACCAGCGCTGACTACAGGAAGCCCGAGGCAGAGTTGCTCTGCCCCAGGCTTCCTGGAATCAGCCGCTGATCAGTTTCAGCAGCAGCTGACTTGGGGTTCTTAAGTTGAATCTGTATGTAAGTCAGAACTGGCGGTCAGTTTCAGCAGCGGCTGACTTGGGGACGCCTGGGGCAGAGCAGCTGGGGCGCTGCCGATTGGTCCTGCAGCGCCGCTCTGGGCACTACTGGACCAACCCGGCAGCACCCCAGCTGCTCTGCCCCAGGCGTCCCCAAGTCAGCCGCTGCTGAAACTGACCGCCAGTTCTGACTTACATACATATTCAACGTAAGAACAAACCTACAGTCCCTATCTTGTACGTAACCCGGGGACTGCCTGTACTTTTTAACCAGAACATGAACATGTAATGGGTGAAAACTGGTAGGATGACTGACAGGAACCAATTTTTGCCTATTAAAATATAGTTTTTCAGAGTTTGTAAGAAACAATGATTGGATATACAAGAACAAAAAATACTACCTTAAATTTGGATGAATCTGTTGCATGCTGTACTTTGGCATTATTGTCATCGAACCTTGCAAAGAACACTTAATGGATAAGACATTCTAACCAGGGTTGACAACAGCCAATTAAGTGTCAGAAGAATAATCTGATAAATACGTCTGTGTGCTATAGGCATTTGCAGATAAGTCTTAACTGTCAATCTCATGTTAAACATCTTTATTTCCATCTTGCTATTGATGGCTTTATTAAAAAGGAAATGCTATCGGCTCTTTCAGATTTACTGTGGAGCTGGTCCTTCCCATAAAGGAAATTTCTGAATTTGGAAGAATTTATGGTATAGTGCATGTCTAATCAAACTGAGCAGGTGTATAGCTTGGTGAAGCAACTACTTAGCTGTTGTCATCTCCATACATTTTCAGATATTGCAGGTGATTGGTTTACAGTAAATCTGTCTCTTTAATGGGTGGAAGGATATCTGTGGACATTCTGGCAGGTTGTTCTCTGCTTTCAGTGCTCCTTGCTAGTCATACAGAAGATAACACCTCATTGGTTGGATCGCCCCCCTTCTTCTCTTCACTCCTGTCAACGTCAATCACATGAATGGTGCCAGGCTTCAGGATCAAGTCATCTGTCTCTATCTGGCTCCTGCTATCATCCACCTCCATGTATTTCCCTTTAGACTGATGAGTGGCCATACCGAAGACGTCTTTTAAATGTTGCTTGAGCTCAACATCTGGACAATATACATACTCATAAAGGGTTCCTGCAAGGACTGCTCCAATTATTGGTCCCACCCAATACACCTGCAGGAGAGGGAAGAAAGCACATAAGGGGACATGATGGTAAGGAAGGCGTTTCAGTGAAAAGCAATTCAGTGAAGACTTTAAATAGATGCTTGTCCACAAAAGCCTCCTCACCAGAGAGCTTAGCCAACCTCTGTTGCTCAGAAGTGGGCATGCTCTGTGTGATGAGGCTGTGTTTGTCTAGGCACTCCTGTGGCCTCACACAATAGTATCTGAACATTTCATAAATGCTGATGAATTTCTCATCACAACTCGCTTATGAGGTGGGTAAGTGGTATCATCCCAGTTTTGTAGACAGGAATCCTGAAGCATAGGGAGAGTTAGTGGCTTGCTGAAAGTCACATAGGAAGTCTGTGGCAATGGAAAGACTCCTGTTGATTTCAGTGAGCTCCATTATGATTACCTCAGAGGGACTGAATGTCCTTCACCTGTTCTCAAACTCTCTCTCTCTCCTTTATCTGGAGAAGAGCATAACATATGTGAAAGCCTGACTAGCCTCCCTGAGTGGAGCCACCATGGAGCACAACAACATGGTGCAGCGAGGACACTGAGTAGCTTTACAGGAATATCAGTGAGGCAGATTGGCTAATTCTCCCATTTTCTGAAGAGACAGAACAAGACGCCTCTCATTCTTCTGCTGAACGGGTCTCTGGGCAAGATACTGACAAGCATAGGGAAAATGCTTCATCTTGAGCACAGATTTCCTTCTCCTTGAGTCCCTGACTGCCTTTGTGTAGTATTCCTCAGCTTCCCTATGCTTCACTACAGGCAGATACCCAACCTCATTGGTCCCCAACTAAAGATTTGTCCTCAGGATGACTGGTAGATGGCAGTGGTGGTCCAGGGAACAGTGGCTTCTTGGTGTAGTTGTGTCTAACTATGTGTATGTGGGACATGCTCCTACCTTCCCTATCCCAATCACCTATGCTACTTTTCTCTTTGAGGGAGCAAAAGAGATCTGACTTAAATTTTTAATTTTGCCCAGCATGGCAAAATTCAAGCTTTTTATCAGACAGGTTGGAGATGTGAGAACATCCTGAGCCAAGCTAAGCACAGCAATAAATTCCCTCTGAAGAAAAGGAATTGTCCCTTGCACAATCATTGATGCTTGTGCAAAGTGAGAGTCAAATGTCACTATTCTGTGGCGATAGCATTTGATATTCACTTTGCACAGTGTCAGTAACTGTGCAAGCAAAGCAGTGGAGAGCCAGGCCCATTATCTGTAAAATGAAAGCAGATGTTAGGGAGTTTATTAGATAGAAACCTGTCATAAGGCCTCCTCTAAATGGCCTTGTGTTTGGCTTTTTGCTCATGTAAAGACGTGGTTATATTTGCCTTGCTTGCAAGAGGGCACAAAGAAAATATAATCTTTTATTGACTGAAAACTTTCTTTTCCTCACCAACATCTCATTGTCTTGTGTAAGTATGCAGAAAACAAATCAGAGTGCCTAAAGAAATATTTCTACTTCTATTTAAGGACATTTTCAAAAGGATCCAAACCTGCTCTTTGAAATTGCAGACAACTCCGCATACCTGATTTCTGTTCAACCAGAAGAGGCAGTTAGAATTCTAATTATCCGCAAGTCTATAGTGTGCCAATTTGCTTAAATGTAATTCCCAATATAGGTTAGACCTCCCTGGTCCAGCACCCTTGGGACCTGAGCTGTCCTGGACCAGGGAGTTTGTCGGATATGGGGAGGTCAATGCTCCCCTGCTGGCTGCCCTGCTCCCGGGCTCCTTGCCCTGGGGCTCCCTGCCCTGCTGCGGGCCCTGCTAAAATTAGCCCACCACAGGTACCCACCTTGCTGCCTGCCCACTGCCCTGTGGTGTCCCAGGGTACCTGGCGGGCACCACTTGGCTGCTGCCAGTCCTGCTGCTGCAGGGTGTACTCCATGGTTCCTGGCTGCGGCCATCCTGCCACCGCACTGCTGCTGCCGGGGGTACCCCAGCTGGGACCACCCATTTGCCCTGCCCTGCTGCCAGGGCTGCCCCGCTGCCTCTGGGGATTCCGGCCGCCCGCCTCCACCAGCTCCTGCTTCAGCCAGGGATTCCCCGGTGGAGACTGCCTGGTCACCCCAGCACTGCTGCCACCAGTGGTTTCCCAGGACTCCTGGCTGGGGCTGACCGGCCACACGCAGTCCAGCTGTAGTCAGGGGTTTCTTGGCAGGGGCTGGGACTCATGTGGCCCCCTAAGGCACGGGGTTCCACAGCCCAGGCAGAAGCTCCCTGGCTGCCGCCTGGCCCCCTTGATGGCGGGGGCTCCCTGGTTGGGGCTCCCTGGTCACTGCCTGGCCCCTTTAATGCTTAGGGGTTCCAGGCTAGGGTGGGGGCTCCCCAGATGTCACCTGGTCCAGTTGGAGCTCCCCAGCCCTGGCATTGCTCCGGGGCTCTTTGGTCCAGCAACATCCCTGACCCCACTGGACCACGGATGTTGCTGGACCAGAGAGTCCCGGATCTTGGAGGTTCAACCTGTACTCCTGTAAGACTAGTTGGCTATGTGCTATTACGGGTCACACTTGCCTTTGCTAATGGCAGATGGCTGTCTATTATTCTAGGAGCAGAAGAGATCTTTCATGTAGCTAGGAGAGCAGCTCTTACTTCCCTGTGATATTGCTACAATAAATATGATACACATATTTACAATTTTGGTTACGTATTAGATAGCATAGGCTGATTCAAAGTTTGAATAATTAATTACAGATATTTTAAAATCTGAATAAACCATTTGGTGGTAAGAGTAAATCAACTGCAGTGAGCTGGTCTATAAGAGCAAAGTTACACATGACGTAAGCATCATCAGGATCAGAGCCCTGAGCCTGAGCCTACTCCACATGAAGGCAATGAAAGCTTTGCTATCAACTGCAGGGACAATAGGATGGGTCTCATTGTTTCAAATTAGGAAACACTTAACGGCAGTATTTGGCCCTCTTAAAAGTAAGCGGAAGTGACTATAAAAATGCCTGTCATTAATTGGGTAAGACATTACCTCTCTCGTAACACATGTGAATTTGTTTTTAATAATTAATGTACACAAAATGCTTTAATAAACTATTGCAAAATCAGCATTGCAAAATCTGTTAATCAAAATGGTTTCCCATACATATATTCTTAGTTGGGCTGATTCTTGCTCATCAAAGCAGGTAATAGATACACTGTTAGCTACAGTTTTACTCCTACAAGGCCAGATTCTGATCCCTTTATTTCACATTGGTGAGCAATTACTCACTCGGGAATGCTCACTGATGCCAGATCAAAATGGGAAGCTCTCATATTGTATGCCTGGCCTTTTTTTTAGAAGGAGGCAAAATATGAAGCCAATGATATTACTTGAGTAACTGCTTACCTGTTTCACTAAGGGGTTTGCAATCAAGCTCAAAGTATTTTTCTTTCCAATAACACAAATTATTTTGCATTCTTTCCCCAAATTTGCAGCTTCTTCAAAATCCCAACATCCATGTACACAATAGGCAATTATAATTCAACCTACACAAGACAGAGTATAACTTTTAGACCTGTGCTTTAGGCACAGAATAGATAAATATGCTAAAACTTGTATCAGATCTGTGCCAATTTTTCTTAGAGCTTGTCTTTATGGAACATGCTATGAAAAAAAGGAAGAGCAAATGAAGAAAATTATAATTCGGTAGCTGGCCATTGCTATTGTAAATGAAACATAAAATTAATTACCCAGTGGTTTTCCCATTTTCCCATGATAACTGCAGGTCCAAATGATCTAGCAGGATTCATACTAGCACCAGTGTAGTTGATCTAAAATAAAATATTAAATATTGCTATTATTAGAACATTATTATTCAACCATTGCTATCACCATTTGCTGCAATGCAGTACTGTCAGAGCTGCCTCTGACTTGTATTCCTGCCCACCTCTGTAATATCAGAATGTACTATCATTCTTCAGATCACTCTTCTAATGACAGAATTAACACGATTAACACATACATAAAGGTCTGATCTAATGCCTTATCAATAGAAAGCCTCCCATGGACTTCAATGGGTTTTGGATTGGAACCACAACAAATTACTAAAGAATTACAGCTATAAGAATTACAGCTCTGGAGTAGGGACAGTGGAAGAAGAACTCAATTATTTAAACAAAAGACATTAACTTACAGCAAATAAATGTCCAATTGCAACAGAAAATCCAATTGCTAAAGCCACTGAACCAGTAACATCGCTTCGTTTTGAATCACAGCTGGCAAAAATAGTAAAAACCAGCTGGAAAGTAATTATCAACTCCACCAGGAGTCCATGGCCAGCGGAAAGATCACCATGTACCTGAAAAAAGGAAACAATCACCAAAGATGAAGCACACATGAGTTTGCAATTCAGAGAGCTACTACAAAAAATTGTTTTGTGATTTAAAATGTTTAGTCATGCACTGTGATGAAACGGCACTGTAGTTCAGAAACGTATGGATTCATTTTCCTCCTCTCTCCCCCCCACTTTTTTGACAGCCATGGAAAATTATTGATAGGCTGACAAAGAAAGTTCGTACTGGATTTTAATGTAGAACTTCAAAGCTAGACTGCATTTATTACATATCGGGTTTGTAAATGCTGCGCTTAAATTTGCACAACTTTTTTCTTGGGAGCACTGTAATTTACTATTCAATTGTAAATTCATTAATTAGCCCTGACTTAATTAATTTAAATTTCAATTAAAAATTAGGCGGCATGTGGCTCAAGTGCATTTTTAATAAGTCCTGCGTTGGGGCTAACTGATGGCATTCCTTATTAATTTAGAACAAAGTGGAAATCTAAGGCACAATCTATTTCAGAAGTGTGTCATTTTGGATTGATGTTTTTTCAATCACCATCATAATGACATAGATTAATTTCAGAATTCTTCTTGAAATTGTATTTCACGCAAGTATACTTAAACTGTGAATGTAACTTAGCATTGCCTTCTGGAACCAGATTTGGAGGGAGTTCTAGAAGAGTAAACTTCTGTAAAAGAATGACTATAAATATTGAAGTAAAATGCAGGACTATGTAGCACTTTAAAGACTAGCAAGATGGTTTATTAGGTGATGAGTTTTCGTGGGCCAGACCCACTTCCTTTGATCTGACCACTATTTGATCTGAGGAAGTGGGTCTGGCCCACGAAAGCTCATCATCTAATAAACCATCTTGTTAGTCTTTAAAGTGCTACATAGTCCTGTATTTTGCTTCAGCTACACCAGACTAACACGGCTACATTTCTGTAAAAATTGCTTAGCATAAAACACATTCCTATGAGAGATTTAAGAGTTGTAAATAAACCAGCAATGCACTTAAACCATGACTGCTACTTTCTGGGTTTACAGCTGACACTAAAAAGTTATGCTATTTTAAAAGTAGGAGCAAAAGTTGTTACCATAGTAACTCCCAAGCCTCCCACCAAACTTGGGGGCGTGACAAGGTAGAGAATTCCTGCCCCCACTATGGCACCCAGGCACTGGGCAACAATATAGAAGACAGACTTGGCAAGGCTGATCTTCCTAGTGCAGACCATAGCAACAGTCACTGCAGGGTTAATATGGCCGCCACTGATGTGTCCAAAGCACTGAACCATGGTTGCAATGCTGAGTCCAAAGCAGAGAGAGATAAGGACCATGTCTACAGGCAGAGGTTTCTCAGATCCACCCCAGTTGATTGTAGAGCCAAGGCTGAGGAGCACAAAAATTAGCATGGCCAAAAATTCTGCTGAAACAGCTTTCCAGAAAGGCTGAGTCCAGACTCCTTTAAATGCCACCATGCTGGTCTCACACTTACACAGACGTCCACACTTACTGAAAAAGAAAACAAATCTGCATCAGAAGTCACCAAGTCAGCCACAGATTTTGCTGCACAGGATTATGATCTGGCAGATTCTCTAGCGATGCCAGCAACACTGGGTCTGTTCAGTGGGGGGAGATGTGCATTGCCAGAAATACTGACTTTATAAACAAACATCACTAATGCTCAAGAGGGCCTGTTCTTAGCGTACCACCATCTAAAGGACATAGGGCAACTAGTTATTGTGGGCACATCTATGCTACTTGGAAGATTGATCTTCTGAGGTTCAATTTAGTGGGTCTAGTATACACCTGCTAGATCAAGGGTGGGCAATCATTTTTAATGGGGGGCCACTCCAAGATTTTGGCAAGTGGTCAAGGGCTGCATTTCTATTGAAGGAGTTTGCGGTCTTGGACAGATGTTGGGTGTAGAAGAGAGGTTGGGGTAGGAGACTGGGTGCAGGAGGGAGTGTGGAGTCTGAGAGGGAATTTGGGTGAAGGAGAGGATTGTGATCTGGGGCAGAGGCTTGGGGTGCAGAGTCCATGAGGCAGTAAGGGTGCAAGAGAGGATTCTAGCCTGAGGCAGGGGCTCTAGGAGGGGGTGCAGGGTCTGGGAGGGAGTTGTGACCTGGGGGAAAGAGGTACAGAGCTTTTGGGTGGTGGTCTGGGGCAGAGGAATGGGGTGCAGAGTCAGGGAGGGGGTGTGGGTGCCAGAGAGGATTCTGGTCTGGAGGAGGGGCTCTAGGAGGGGTGCAGGGTTTGGGAGGGAGTTGTGACCTGGGACAAAGGGGTACAGAGGATTTGGGTGATGGCCTGGGGCAGGTAGTTGGTGGGGGGACTAGGTGGGTGTCAGAGACAGGCTCTGGCTGGGAGGCGCTTATCTAGGCAGCTCCCAGCCAGCAGTCCTTCAGTCGCAAGCTGTTCCATGTGGTTCCGCTCCACGCGGGGTGGAAGGAAGGGAGGGAGGAGGCTTCATTGGCTGCCCCTGCCGCCAGCAAAATTTCTTAACTCTTATTGACTGGAAACTGGCCAATGGGAGTCGAGAGACTTTGCTGGGGGGTGGGACAGAGCATAAAGCCTCCCTCCTTGCTCCCAGAATAGAGCAGCCACATTTAAAGCAGCAGCAGCTGCTGTGCTGTGCTTAAGGGTCCCAGCAAGGCAGCCACGGGCTAGATCCAGTGGCTTGGCGGGCCTCTTGCCCACCCCTGTGCGATATCGAACTCAAAGGGCGCCCCAATCAGCACCAGTACTCCTCCTCCTCACAAGGAGTAAGGGAAAAAGATGGGAGCATTTTTGCCTCCCACTGGGTGGACAGTGCAGAAATATGATGTAAGATACATAGCTGGGAGTTGTTGTAGTTTCGTAGCTGGAGTTGTATATCTTACTTTGACCTTCCCATGTAGTGTGGACCAGGACTCTGTGTTTGACAAAGAAAGTCTCTCTGAACAGATGGAGTGACAGATATAGTCTTTTTAAAATAAGTAGATCTGTCCTTCTCGTTGTGCCAAATTCTGATTGACTTGCATACTGTAAAACCCCAGTCACTTCAGTGGACCCTTTGTCCCTTGTGTTTATTCTACCACCGATAACTCCCCTTTCTATGCAAATTTGTACTTTTACAGCACATATACAATATTTCAATAAAAGGCCAAGTTTCCAGTCAAAATAATAATTTCCAAAATTGCAATACCAGCATGGCAGTTTTGGAAGTTGCCTTAGGGTTTATATGAAAAAGCCTGTTTTTGAAATATTTTTTGTAAAGAAGAAACAATGTATTTATGCACAGAGGACAGCTTCTCCAGGATGGACATTGGGTAAAATGAATTTAGCCATGAGAATACAAGAAATCCTAAGTTCTGTCCCCTCAATCAAACATTCCATTTCTATTGGGCTATGTTTGTAGGACGAGGAGTGAGATGAAGTAATATTTAGTGTATAAGTGATGTGTGTGTGTGCGTGTGTGTGTGTGGGTGCATGTGTGTGAGTGAGAAAGAAGTAGCTTGGTTTCAATTACGTACCACCGTATTTACTAGGCTACACTTCATTCATGATGATTTACATTTTTGTTAAGCGTCCAGAGATCTGTGAAAGTGGGTCACCGAAGAAGAATTATTTGTAGTATTAATAAATTGAGAATAAATCAAAAAGGGAGCATTTTACGAGTTTCCAAGGAATGAAAACATGATTTTCTTTTTATTTAAACAAAGGAAGATACAAATGTAGAACTGCTACAACTCAGAGCAGTATTCCAAGTGGAAGGATGGAGGAATTTAATCATTGGCTACCTAAGGCAATTGAGCCATGGTAATACCTAACAACGCTCATACTTGAAAGAATGCATTATGTATCTTCATAAGCACAAGAGGCACACGGGATCATTTAAAAGTTATCATGAAAATGAAAGCCCATGAAATTCTCAGCAGTGTCATTTTGAAGCTTTCAGGGGAGACATGGCAGGGCCCACTCACTTCGTGTGATCACCCCTACTGGCAGGATGTGTTTGTCTATACCCACACTCCCTCTGCTTGGCTCTGCTTGTGGTGACCCCTGCTGGCAGCTAAACTTCTTAGGCATATTTAATTGACTCAGCCCTCTGTTGTGAAACAATACATAGATCGTTTCCGGAATACAAATCCAACAGGGCCTGTTCCTGCTGCCCTCTCTGGGGTGAGTTTTAAATTGTCCTTGTTCTGGTATAGAGCAGAGCCCCAGGGCTTCCTCCCTGGAGATTCTTCACCTATTGGCCCAGTTGAGCTACTCATTACAGTTCAGCCTACTCTGGGGCGTGTATGCATGTGTTGTATTGGAAGTCCCACAAATGTTGCCCCTCTTTCTAGGTCTTCAGCCCCTTCTCTGAGCCAATTTAATCTTCTTCAGAGTTTTGGTCACTCTACTTGTGGTCAGCAGGGAAGGACCGAGGCACACCCCTTACTCCAGGTCTCAGCCCAGGGACACTATTAAGTAGCAGTCTCCTACTGCTTCCCTTTGATGATTTACAGTTGCGCTTCCCTGGTCTCTTCCCCCTGGAAGCAATGAAGATAAAGCAGATGGAAGCAAAACTGAAACCTGAAGCCTCTTCAAAGTGTTCAATTTCCAGATATAAATAGAACCCAGGGTTTTCGTTTCAGCCAGAGCCTGACCAAGAATAGGACTCATTTTTTTCTTTTTTTGAACCAAATGGGATTGTTTTTCCACAGCATTTCAGTGCGAGGATTTCACCTCAGGAGCATGTTCTTGGCGCTGGGTGCAGTATTGCAGTCCTTTTTTCACCCAGGTGCTTCCAGCAGACTGGCTGTGGTAAGTGTTCAGAGGCTTCGTCTTCTGTGAATCACTCCCAGGGTATTAAAGAATCCAATCAATAAACGGTCTCTTTGCTTTCACGAGCATCTTCAGCATTGGCTTTGGGTCCTTCAAGTTCAGTCCTTTGTTCAGGTTCCCAAACAAATTCTGTCCCCTTATTGGGGTTTATGCCTTGTTACCTGTGGCCAGTGGGAGAACGCAGGTTTGCCCACTACTCTGGGTCCCAACCCAAGCCACGGACCCTACACACACAGCAGCTACAAACATGGGCGGCAGGATTGTATAATTTTTGGTGGTGCCCCATTAGCCACGCCCGCTGGCCCCCGTTAGCCATGCCCCCTACCCCTCCTCCGTTAGCCCCGCCTCTGGAGGCAACACGCTTGGGGCAAAATGGACATATTACCAAAAGTAAATGGTGTCATGTCACCCCTCTCGAAGGGCTTTTCCCACCATCCTCCTACCAACAGGGATTAGTTTAGTCCCCACCAAACCCCCCTCATGCAACTATCCTGCAGTTGCATTAACCCAATGTGTGTGACATTAACTCAGGAGCAGAGAGGCTGGGGGAAGTGTTCTCTCTAAGGCTATGTCTACAGCCGTTCTTGCGCAAGAACCCACAGAGCATCCACACTGTCTGCCTGCTCTTGCGCAAGGAAATTTACAGTATAGTGTGGTAAGAGAGGGCTCCTTGCGCAAGAGCTACGCTCTTTTCTAACAGGTGTAAGCTCTCTTGCGCAAGAGGGCAGTGTGGATGCTCAGCAGGGATTTCTTGCGCAAGAAACCCCTATGACTAAAATGGCCATTGGAGCTTTCTTGGGCAAGAGAGCGTCCACACTGCCATAGATGCTCTTGTGCAAAAGCACAGTTTGCACATGGCAGCGTGGACGTGTTCTTGCGCAAGACTTCTCGCACAAGAACTCTTGCGCAAGAAACTGCCAGTGTAGACATAGGCTAAGAAGGGTTCCCCCCATGAGCAAAATTAACTCACACCAGTACTGAGTTCATGTGGCTTGTTTGGATGTGCCACTGTGGCACTCAAGTTATTAATACATATTTTTAAACCTTTACCTTTTCTCTCTGCTGCCATGTCTCCTTCCCTTGTTCCATCAGCTCCCCTGATGCCTGCTGCTCCCCCAACTCCTCACCTTCCTCTGCTGTCCTGACTCCCCTCAGCCCTCCTGTAACCTGCCCCCCTCCACCAGCCCTTTTCTCTCCCCCGTGCCCACTCCTCCAGTAGCCCCACTCTGATCATGTGAGCTACCCCTTCTCATCCCCTCTTCTAACACCTCCCTCTACAAATGACTTGCTCCATCCCGGCCTTCCTCGTGCCCACCCCTTCTTTCAAGCCTTCTCCCAGCACCTCCCCATCCCTCCTCCAGCCCCCAATGCCCTTACCCTCTCCCCTCCCAGCATCACCCTGTCCCCCTCCCACTGACACCTCCCCTCCTGCCTTTTTCCTCATTGTCTGCACTTGGCCCCCTGGCATTTTTCTCTCCTCTACCTTGTCCCTTTGGTGCCTTCCCCTTTCTTTTTCCTCTCCCGTCCTCCTCCGCACAAGCCCCTTCCTCTCCCAGCCCTTCCCCTAGTTTTCTCCCAGTAGTTTTTAAATCCCGGGCAGTGACGTTACGTCACGCCCGGGTGTCTTCCTGTCCATTGGTTTGAGCAGGCTGCTCATGGCAGCAGCAGCCGGCAAGGGGGAGCTCAACAGAGGTTGT